ATCAACAAAGAACAGAGCACCGCAGCGCTGTGTTTATTAGCATCACAACATCATCATATAAAGGCTTCAGTGTTTTAGCGCTCAAACTTGCGCCGCAGCGCTTTGAGTGGAACTAGACAGTTACCTTTATCACTTTTCTCAAGGGTTGCGTCCTTTGATGATTTAATATTTGTTTTGCTCTTCTTTTTTCAATTAGTAAAGAGTGAGAACGGTGCATGTAAGAAGAGAAACAAAGAAATAGTGAGAGAGATGTATTTATTTCGCCCAATTTTTATAATGAATTTCTTGGTGTAATGTGGTACCATAATTTTTTCACTGGTTTAAATTTTTCCACGTTAAATCCGAGTATATTTTACTTTCTGTTGCTTTTACTTTCTTGTATATTTTTCTACGGTATTTTACTTTCATCCCAACAATTAGGGAGACTCTATTTCATATATAAAGACTCTAATTTGAGACATAAATCTTTTGCAATTATAACCTTTAAAATCACTATTAAGGCCCAGTTTGCAAAGATCAACTAAATTATTGACAGAGCATTACTAGAAAACTCTTCTTTTATCTTCTCCACTCCTAATCTCATCCATATTCAAACGTCCCATGAATGCTTTCACCATATATTGTTTGATTAAAATACCTGACAAATTCTCACATACGTTGGCCACTGCACTGTTATCCCCTTGTCCACCAACTAGCTCTCTTATTCTAATAAATACAGATATGACACAACAATCATATCAGACAGTTTTATAAAGGATGCTAAAAATATGAATTCACAATCTGATTTGCTAGATCTAACAGTTTCCAGCAGATATACCTTTAAAAACAATAATATTCAATAGCACGAAAATAGAGAACAAAAAAGAGAAGAAATAAATGAAAAAGAACTGTAAATAGAACCACGTAGAACACATGGAAACAATGAATCATAATGCACATCAGGGGCTCATCGCACATTTAATGGGAATTAGCCAACTCTAACATAAATTTATATTCATTCTTGCCTCAAGAAAAGATTAACAAATAAAAGACTAAGAAAATATCAAAACAATCCCTCGGCTCTTTATAAAAGATCAAAATAATTCTCAATTATATTAAATGACAATTTTGATTCCTCAGCTCATTAAAGAAAAACCAAAAGTATTTTGATTCTTTTTAAAAATTTAAGCTATCAAAATGACCATTTAATATAATTGGGGACCATTTGATCCTTCATAAAAAATCAATGAATCATTTTGATCCTTTTATACAGATGAACACACTCTTCAAAGACTCAAAAAATTTCGTGGAAATTCACTTCCACAGAACTGCTAAATGCAGTCATTATGCTTTCAGTATTCCCCTCTATATATGCTATTTATCATAAATAATACGCTTTTGTTACAACACAAGTTAAAAAGATGAAGCAAAAATTAGTCGTCATCCATCCACTGTTACCATGCAAAGGGGAAAAGAACCTTACTTGCCAGAGTTCCTCGCTTATTCAGTCAGTTCGAACATCAAGCTATTCAGTCAACGTCATTAACATTCCCAATGATAAGTAGTTCTTAACATCCAAGGCTTCTCACAATGTTGCTGAGCTCATCAATGACCACTTTTGGCCTGGCATAAGATCCATCAAGATTAATGGCATGATATTCCAGCCCTTTCCATTGTGAGATCAATGAAAAATGTGGGCGTCTATATCGACTACTGATGATTTCAAGAACAATTGCTTTTGACCTCGCAGAAACCAAGTGTGTGAGACCAGCTCCATGAGCTCCTATAACAACAGAAGCTTCATAAACGGCTCGGAGTTGCTCCTTCATTGTCATATGAGCAAAGAGGCCATTGATGACGTTTAATCTGCATTTTGTTTGGTTGGCTGCCCAATTTTGTATTGAATCAAAAACCTCTGGCTCATTGCTCAACCGAGATTCCACTTTTCCGTTATGACGAGGGTGAGCTAAGTAATCTTCACGACGGACAAAAAGAATATTATGAGCTGTGGATGCCTTTGTAATTGAGTTTTCATCAGTTGGAAGATCAAAAACTGCTCTCAGCATTTCTCCGAATTCCGACAATCGGGCGGTTTTTTGGCTACCGGGGTTTTCTTTAAGATTGTGTACAGGCGTTCCTTGACAGCTAAATGATTCAGAAAGCCCTTTGAACATGGCAGACTCGTACCCCAGAGGTGAAAGAATGACATGGCGGAAACACACGCTAGCTGAGAAATTTTTAGCATATCTTGCACTGGTAAATATTGCCTCCCAAGTTTCCTCCAACGGAGCCTGACCATTTATAATGAAAAAATCAAAGTATATAACTCATCAGAGGAGGCCATCAAAGGCTACTTTCATCAACTAATCTGAAATAGGACAACACACGCAAATGCAAAATAAGACAGTAGCAATGATGAATAGCAGACAGAGTTTACAAAGTCAGCCCAAGTAGTTGAACTGAGGATTCTCTTATGGTAAGGGCAACCGTTCTAACATTTGGGTGGGTGAGGGGTTTGGAAGAATAAATTAGTAGAGCTTGCAAAAAGGATCATGGTCTACAATTGTGCAATAAGAGGGACCATCTCAAGGTTCGCATCAAAGTCGATCATGGTCTACAAGATTATTACATAGAACTTTGGACTATAATATGGTATCACAACAACTATGATGCACCGACACGGACACGTCGACACGGACACGACACGACACGGACACACCATTTTTTAAAAAATATAGGACACGGGTGCGGCGTGGACACGGCATAATAATTTTTTTAATATAATATATAAAAATTAAGGTGACATTTTAAAAATGACAAGCAATAATAAATCAATTTCATGATAACTTGTTTAGCTTATAACAGAAAGATGTTTAATACAAAATGTCTAGTACAACCACAAAAATATAAGCAAAAAATCATTTAGTACAACATGGAGGTCAAACTACTCAATAGAGGTAATGATAGAATTATATTTAGAGATTGATATTTGGCCTTCAATATCATCATCATTGAATATCATTGCTTCCAACTCTGGTTCATCTAGAGAAAGATTTGCAACCTCCAATAATCTCATATCATCAAGGCACTCGAACCCATCTCCAGCAACCTCCCACATCTTGTTATCACATGTCATATAAAGTGAGATTTTTCTTGATAGAAGACGAAGATTTGTATGCACATAAACTAAATCTTCAGCTCGTTGTGGAGTTATTTTATTCCTCTTCATTGATTGAATAAATGAGTATGTGCTCCAATTTCTCTCACAACAAGAACAGGATGATACTTGAAGTTCTGCTTGTTTTTAAAGTTCGTAAGTTATTTGCATGGAAAGATACCAAGTGGTACCGAGCTTGTACCTAGCAGTACCGAGCATGTACTGAGCGGTACCTAGAGATACCTAGTAGTACTGAGCATGTACCTAGCGATACCTAGCAGTACCGAGCATGTACATTAGCTTTTTTTTGGTAAATTTCAAAAAACAACAATTAATATTTCAGGCGTCGATGTCATTTATCAGTCACCGAGAGAAGAGATGAAAATATCTTCACTACCAAAAAGAAATGAAAATGAAAATTTTTAATGATTGGGAATTAAGTGCGGACGTTGATTTGGTGTTGTGGATAGGAAATAAGAAATTTAATTTAAATCCCGCAAAATACAACGGAGCCTGACCATTTATAATGAAAAAATCAAAGTATATAACTCATCAGAGGAGGCCATCAAAGGCTACTTTCATCAACTAATCTGAAATAGGACAACACACGCAAATGCAAAATAAGACAGTAGCAATGATGAATAGCAGACAGAGTTTACAAAGGCAGCCCAAGTAGTTGAACTGAGGATTCTCTTATGGTAAGCGCAATCGTTCTAACATTTGGGTGGGTGAGGGGTTTGAAAGAATAAATTAGTAGAGCTTGCAAAAGGATCATGGTCTAAAATTGTGCAATAAGAGGGACCATCTCAAGGTTCGCATCAAAGTAAGCATACCGATCATGGTCTACAAGATTATTACATAGAACTTTGGACTATAATATGGTATCACAACAAGTATGATTCAATCCTAAATTGTATTTATTGATCTTCTAGATAATATTCATTATTTAAATTTATCCTAACAATTAGCATGAGGCCACACAAATATATCCAAGAGCAAGATCAAAAGTGTGGCTTATTGAGGTCCTACATAGAATTACGAAGTTTTGGAATAGAAAATAACAACACATAAAATACCCAATATGGTATGGGACAATAACCGCAAAATGAACACAAACTTCGATATAAAAATTGTTCCCAAAATTCTATATAAGAAAATACTAGATAAGCCAAGGTTTAATCAGTTTAGATGTTGGCCCCTCCAGCAGAGTTGCATTTCCTATGTTTTCTACGGTTGAAAAAAGAATAAAAAGTGGTTTGATAGCGTTATTGATATCAAGTCCTTGATAGGTTAATAATTTGATTTTGATAATGATGGATTGGCGCCAGGTTAAATCCAAGGAAAGCATACTTAATTGTGCCAGCTACAATAATAACCATGAAAATGGCTCCCCTTCGTATCATTATATGAGCAAATACTTGATACTATTTTGTATAATTTCAAAAAATATTAAAAGAAAAATAACAGAATATTTAGTGCTTATATATTAATCAGTTTAAGAGTTTCAATAACAATAACTAACATGCAAAATGTTCACTAAACTGATTTTAAAAAGTTACTTCTGGAATGAGATAATACACAGCTAATCAGCCTTCTTTTGTCATCTGAATTAGTATCTAGGATGATTCAGAGGGTAAGATAAGCCGATATTTTCCTAATAAAATAGGGAGTTAGATTCAAAATTCTCTTTATTTTGAGATGTTAGGATCGAGATGAGGATCCTGCTCATACTATTATAAGGTATCATAGACTTCATTTAGAATAGCCCCATTGAGATGAAGATAATTTTCACAATGAAATAAAAAAAGCTAAACACCTTATTCTTTATATTCCGAGTTGTTAGAACACAAAAATATGATTCTAATTATATGAGTTTACAAGGTATCTATAGAATTAATCCAAGATTGCTTCTTATGCACAATAGAACTATCTCATGTGGTTATATTAGAACCCTGGTCATGTCAATATTACCTGTGTCGCATGCACACAAAGGTGAATTTCTTGGTTTCCATAGATATATAGCTTGACGGATCTTTATCCTAAATCTCTAGATGATCTATTACCTTACTGGTCACCTGACGATGCATTGCACATGCTCTTAGAAAGCCAAAGAAGCATTTGAACCATTCTCATGGCATCCCATATGTGTTTTGTTTGCCTCAACCTTCTCTAGCTTTCGATGTTATAGTTTCCAAACTTCATTGGAGTCAGGTTGAACATTCAAGATGATTAAGATGGTTGTCGGGTTCGTAAATCTAAACGATAATTACTATGGTGCATCCCTCAAGTGCATCTCTCTAATGTTCGAATGGGTTGCATGCTGCCAAGTAGAGGAATGGTCAAGCTATCTAAAACTCCAAGCCAAACAGAGCATTTTGGTTCATCTTACCATACTAGATTCAGTATTGCTAGATTCTTGTGTTCGACCAAACATAGTTGATTTGATTATTCAAAGTGATTGACATTTTTTTAGGCTTCTAAATCATGCCCAATTATGCTAAGAAAGAGTTGCATTATTTGGATATTCAAAACTAAACAGCTCCTTTTAGCTTATCTTACCTAACTAGATCTTGTGTCGCTCACTTCCTATATCTTATGCAGGACCGATTGAGTTGATTTGACCATCCAAAAAAATTAACTGTGTATAAATCCCACAACTTCTATTATAACATATTATTAAAACATTGTAAGCATTACTTATAAACTCTCTTGAGAAAGTTTAAGGACAATTTTGAGATATGTTATAATTAACGGTATAGAATAAGAGCGATTGAGAAGGAAAAAAAGACCAAATGATGTTTTAATCCAAGAAGCATATTATTTTTCTAGAAAAAAATAAAATATTCAGACTTTGAAATAATGCGAACATGAATTGAATAATATATACATAAAAACATGTATCATACCTTGCAGTGGCCATCAACATATATCAAATGCGGCCTGCCAGGCAAACTCGTAACTCTGGAAGAGATATAAGCATTGTACCAATCTGTAATTGTGTGGAAAAGGTTTGCATATTCAAAACGCGTAACCAGAATTGTTGGTTCTTCAATCCACTAAAACCAAATCAAACAATACAATAGAATTAACATGTATTGCAAAAACACTAGAAAGACAAAATGATATTTGAATACCATGCATAATCAAGTTTTAGAAATACACGCACATGCCATATTATGTGCTCTGCCATTTTATGTGGTACTTCTAAGCTCAAAACTTCAGCCTTGCTTTAGTTTTTGAACTACAATACATAACTTCCAAGTAATTAAAGCCATAGTGCTGTTTAAATAAGGCCTTCTCCAACCGAACACCAAAAGCATGAATAGCTCTAGCAGAACGGCAAAACTTCCGGAATTTGATTGCGGGTGAACAGTGCGACACCAATATTGGCGTTGCACTATTCACCTACATTATTTTTCTGTATCTACCAGATTTGCCGAAGAAACGCGCGAAAGAGGAGAAAGACGGTTACCTTCTGCGAATGGCACAAAATGGAGTTCGATTGGAGATGAATCACACCATTTTTTAATTTCACTGCATTTTGGAATGAAAAAATTGGAGATACCCTTAGCTTAAGCAAACGTTCACAACTTCACATGACCACCAATTATCATGAGCTCTTAGGCTTCGTTTGGGACAGCTTTTTTTGCTGTTTTTTAAAGCAGCTTTCTCGTACAAAAATTAAAATTTTTATACTAGAAATTTGCTTTAAGAAGCAATAAAAAAGCCGCCCCAAACGAAACCTTAGTCTCTGACCTTGAACAAAACAATGCATGCTGTTGCCACCTGAGATTTGATAGGAAGGTTGCCATATGCCTAGTTAATGTAATACAACTTAGCTCGCAATATGCCCTCCATTGGAATTCAAAGTTATCACATTACAGTAGAGCATATCCTGTAAGCTTTCCTCTTCACAACTTTAACAACTATAGAAATATAAAATACATACAGGAAAAAGGTTCTCGACATTCAGTTCCAGGAGGCCCTCTAATGAGCTTATCATACCCTGCTTCTAGGCATGCTAAAAACCTAAAATAAAGGTTTTCACTTAAGCTTTAGCTGTCCCAAATCAGACTTCCCAAATGTTGCTTAATATTTAGTTACGGTTGTGTTCCACAAAAAATTTTAAAATAGAACGGAGCAAGCTAGAAAAATCATCTCCAGTTCTACTAACTCAAGCTAGGAGAGTCATCTACTGTTTTCAGCATCCAGCAGCAGTCTAACCTGTGAGCAGTGGAGTTCACCAGAGCCGACAATCCTCATCGATTTCATCAATCCCCTCATTGCATGAAATTCGACAGCATTCCGCGGTACATAGCGGTCGAGAAACTCATCATACACCATCCTCCCATCGCCACTTCTCTTGCCCCCATCTCCCTCGATCTCGAACGCCCCATCCTCAAACCTCGGCAGCTCCTCCTCCTCCTTCCTCCCCATAACTAACTCAAGTCTCTCACCTCCCTTCGACATCCGAATATTCCTTGGATCCATTCGCACCCGACCGCCCTCGCATACGGAGCTCCTGAGCGTCGCACTGTAGAAGCAACGGAACCACCCGCCGTTTCCGCCTTCGCCGAGGACATTAACTTGGTGTGAGAAGCCGTTGCCGAAGTAGGCCTCGCATGATCTATGGGGAGGATTTGGGTTAGGGTTCCAGGGGAGAAAGGAGGGGAGAGAGGGCCAGGGTTTGAGAATAGAAGGAGGTGGTGTTTGGGTTAGGGTTTCGCTAGAGGGGGCGGGACGGGGATGGAGGAAGAAGTAAATTGCAAGGGATAGAGAGTTGAGAGCGAAGAGAAAGAGGACGGTTCGTATGAGGAGGGATCGCTGTCGGCGGCTCATTGCGCCGGTGAGACTAGCAGGGTTTCGGCGGCTGAAGTAGACGATGGAGAGTTCAGGCAGTAGTCGAGTGGATACGGGAACAGTAATAGTAATGAGCCGGCTCAGGCGGATGCACTCAGATGGGAAATTGCCGGAGTATTTGCGTTAAAAACTGTGTTTTTTTTATATATATATATAAATGAGATAATTAGTTACATAACATTTAAATCTTAACTATTTATAAATGAACTATTTTTAATTTTTAAAATTACTCTTAAATATTGACATTCACAATAAGAATCTAACTCATATTCATAATAAAATTCTAACAATAAAATAATTATTAGTCAATTTATACATAAAATAATTGATATTTTATCTTTTTATTAAACTTCTTTTGAAAACAATAATGATCATTATTATAAAAATTTGATATTATTATTAAATTTAATCTTTTTTATTAGAACATTCGTAGCAATAGAGAGAGTTCACTGTCTTAATATTATATGAATATCAAGCATATAGACATATAAAATAAGTCGAGGATAAGCTAGTTTATTGATGTGAAAACTTGAAAAGAGAAAAACCCTTGCGGTATGATCATAGTTGAAAATGATTTAACTATTATATGTCATAGCCTCATAGGTTATAAAAATATTATTTTTCATAAATGGAGAAGACATTATTATAATATATATATCAGAAATGAACAATAGATGGTGTCATCCAAAATGGCAATAAGAGGAGTCTTAAGATATTGGAGTTGATCTTCAAAAGATCGTTGATGATATGTCCAATCATTCAGATTATAGAAGAGAAAAATAAAGACAAAAAGATGAGCATTTGTCTTAATGTTAAGTTTAGGTGTCATGTTTGATGTCAAATATGGGTATCAATTATGTTGGAAATAGCATGCATTAATGTTTGTATCAATAGCATGCATTGGTTTTGTCGGTGATATCAAACATTACAATTAGTGTCAACGATATCAATTTTATTTAATGATGACATCATTGATGATGATGATTGACGAACTTAATATGCATTGATGTTGTGGTAATGAAGTTAATATGCATCATTATTGATGTTGATGGTGTATGGCCTTATTGGTAATAATGTCTATCAATGTCGGTGTTAATGCAATGCATCAATCTTATTAACCATGGTATACATCAACATCATCTTTTAAAACGTGTTGATGTTTTGGAACTAGTGATCAATAATAGTGATCGAGTGATGATAATCAAGCAACGATGTCAAGATAGTCAAGGTGGTGATGGTTGGGCTACTATAGTGATGGTGAAAGTGATTGAGTAATGGTGATCAAGTTGTGGTGTTCGAGTAACTATATATAACACATACTAAATTAAGATACAATTACATATGTTCTAACCTGATCTAAAAGAGATAATTTATTGAATCATGCATTTGAACTCTCTTGCATATGTTTGAGAATGTTTGGTATGTATATAAGTGTCTGAATATGCTTTGGAGCTGGTTTCAGAGGTTTGTGTGCATGTTCATCATGTTAGGCAGCACTGCGGCGTTGCAGCCCGCTTGATTCGGCACCATGATGCTCAACTTAATTAATATATTAAAAATATAATTTTCCACTATTCTACTCACTTCTACCCAATCAAGGCAACCAACTAAATAGAGAGAGAGAGAGAGGATGAATTCTAGAGAGAGAAAGCCCGTTTCAGGCTGCTTCAGGTCAATTTATGTTGTCGACCCAGTTCTAAAAATTGTTTGGCTCAAAATATGTTGCATTTTGTATATCTCAATTTAAAAAAATACAAAAATTTCAAGAAATTTCTAATTTAATTTATATTTCTGTTAGCAAAAAATAGGGATAACGATATCTGTAAAAATTTCATCGTATAACTTTATTTATGTTATATAGACGATGATTCTAAATATTAAGATATTTTTCTATAAAACTTTCACCAGGTCAATTAGAAAATAATATTGGTTAAAAAAAATATGTAGTACAATTAAAGCCTCAAAATGATGCTATAAACAATATATGGTGATTTGATTTTATTCTAAAATTTTGCATTTTTGCTTCGTAGTACATTTCACTGCCTAGCATTATTGGCCTCATCTTTACATGAGGTTTATCAATCAAAACTAAATCCAAAACCAATATCAAATCCAAAACCTAGATCAAATCCAAAATCTCAAACTAAAAATTAAAATATACACTTGAACCTAGCTAAACTGATTGACCAAAGCATTGTCAATCCAACGTACGGCCCTAGGGTGACCCATTAGGTCCCTAAAGGAGTCCCCTTGAAGGCCCACCCATTGGGTCCAACTAGGTTAGCCATATGGATTGACCCAAATGCCCAAAGATAGCTCTCCATGAACCAAACCCAGTTACTTTTCAGCCTGAGCTTGCCTCCTCCGAGCTCAGGAGTTAATTGAACCTTAAGTTCAAATTAGTCTAATGAACTGTCCAATGAGAATTAGGTTGTGAATGTTTGTGTGATTTTTATGCTTAGGATGAGGAGTATAGAGCCATTGATTCCACCCCCTCCAAGGTTTAGATAACCTTTAAAATTTTTGTACTAAAAAGTTGTTTCAAGAAGCAGTAAAAAAGCCGTCCCAAACGAAGCCTACGACTTTCTAGTTGCTTCTAAAAGCAACTTTCTAGTACAATTTTTTTAAATTTTGCACTAAAAAAGTTGCTTTAAGAAGCAACTAGAAAGCCGTCTCAAACGAAGCCTTAATCTTGGGTGAAGAAGGAAGGATTGGTTGTAAGAAACGGTGCGAAAATGTTGCCTCTCATTCGAGGGTATATATAAGCATGTATGAAGTATGAAGCATCAGATTTTTAAACATTGGACTCCAAGCACATAAATAATGAATAAAGAAATTAAAAAAGGCACAACAAAGCCCTCAAACAGGATGTTTTTGCACTATTTAAATTTTTTTTTTTTTTTTGGGGGGGGGGGGGGTTTGTTTTTTTTTTTTTTTTTTTTAAA